GATGTTGTAAATGCACTAATGAGGTCACATATACATAGGGTTGCCAACACCACATTAGGAATTCCTGGAGATTTGGGGAGGGGAGGGACAAGCTGGGTATAATGCCATAGATTCCACCCTTAAAGTAGCCATTTTCTCCAGGGGAATTGATCTCTGTAGTTTGGAGACCAGTTGTAGTTCTGGGAGATCTCCATGAGCCACCTGGAAGTGGGGAAAGTCTCTTAACGCCAGATGTCCTGCTTGCTTGTTCCAGTATGCTTCTTTAAACCTATGGCTGGTCTCGCATTAGCGGGACCTATTGGGGTAAAAGGAAGCCTCAATCCTTTGGCCATCACCGTGCGAGAGGTTTCCCTCGTGCCCCAGGCTACAAGCCCCCTCGAAGGGCTCTGGGGCCCCTCGGAATGGTCCGGACCCCCTCCCGTCTGGTGCGATTGTGGGCCGCTCTCATCGGAGCTGCGATGGAGCGCACCCGCCAGCAAGCCACCAAAACCGGAAGTCTCAGGGCCTTTTTAGCTGACATGGTTTGCATGACAGAGTTTACATCTACACCAATATATCTGTGAATCATTCAGGTTGCCTGTGTTTGCATTCTTTCATTCTTCTCCCGTATTAGCTTAGTTTGTGTATTATGTCACAGTTACTCTTGAATCTGGAGGCACTGGGGCTAGTGTGCGTGTGCATGTGCATTTGCAATGGTTTGCATTCTTTCATTCTTCTCCCGTATTAGCTTAGTTTGTGTATTATGTCACAGTTACTCTTTTGTGCTTGATGGGGAAATGGTAACCATGGCATGGTCTGTGCTCCTTGTGCTGCCCGCTGCGCTGTTTTGGAGGTGCCATTTTACAAAGATAGTTGTTGTGCTTTTTTAAATTGCCTGTGTGATTCAAAATTATATCTAGAAATGGTGAGGAGCTCAAGCCGAGTACCTTGGACAGGAGTGAGGCTGGAGACAGCAACAAGTTGTCCAGGCAGAAGGAAGGCAGTAGCTCTGGAAGGTTCATAATCAGCCAGCCAAACCAGACTAGTCCTCTGGTATCACCTGACTTCCAGGAAGGAAGATTATGTCTTGTGGCATGAATGCTGCCACTAGAATAGGCTCCCCTGACCAGCAGCGTCAATACCAGAGGGAGCCAGTGGCTGATACACAGGTGTCCAAGTTGAAGATTGATGGTACTTAAAGAACTGACCAATCATCTCTTTTCCAGGCTGTTGATGGAAAACAGGCAGGCAGGCTGGCTGTTCCACCGTATGATTGGGGGGGGGGGGATGGATGCCTTTTGTTTCTGTTTCTTTGCCTAGCCATGAAAGAGACATTTCTCTTCCACACACCCTTTGCAGAGCTGGCGATCTTGTTTTTGTGGGAAGGGACCAGTAGGATGGTGCCACCAGTTCTGGTCCCCTTTCCTTCTTCCGCTATAAACCAGCCAGTGAGTTCTGTGCTGACAGGAGTACTTGTATCTTCTGTCCGCTTTGATTTCAGTTTGGCCTTTTTGGTTTCACACCTTGAACGAAGGTAGACGATCCATGCTTTTGACAAGCTTCCTCCCTATGCACTTGCCTCTAATGCCCAGGACCCAGGGGAGCGAGTGATAATTGCTGTATTGTACAAATTAATTAGTGCTGCAGCCACTCATTTATCAGGCATAATTAGAGCATTTCTAATGGGGATGGCCCAGTGACTCAGCAGTGGAAGCCACTGCACCTTTTGATCTGCCCTAGAAAACATCTCAGATGCCCTGAGAGGAACTGTGTGTGGAGTGGGGGGGGGGAAGAGGGGGGAGAAGGGCATCAGACCTTTCCCCAGATGGGGTGAGTCTGTTTATGTAGCAAAAAGGAGGCTGTTCGGCAGTGGATAGGCTTGCACAAGAGGAAGGCTATTTAGAGATGCAGTCAGGCATCGCTCAATTTCAGTACACATAGAATGAAAGGGATAGGATGAAGGGGAAGGAAGTAAACACAGCATCATTTAAAGTTAAGGGCACCGGTAGAGAAATAGGCAAGAGTTGAGCAGACTGGGAATATGTGTGGGGGCAGGATGCTTAAGAGGAACAGATGGATAGCTGTTTACTGAAGCACGTGGACGGCAGATGGAATTGAGCATTCAGCAGGGGTGCTGACCAGTTCCATTCTAAAAGCAAGGTAGGACACAGATTCTGAGGATACGTCCTTTTTTGCACATCAGGGAGCCGTATGATGATAGGATTTTACTCTTGTTTAGCCAGTAATGGTGAGGTGTGGAACTATCCTGGCATACACGTATCATGAAAGCTTCTACCTTTCCCATCTAGGTTTGTGGTAGGCTAGATGTGGCTCAGCCATAGGGCACAGTGAAGATCTCCGGGTTAGATTCACATCAGAGCTCATTTAAAACCGTCTGTGTAAGGGAGTGGTGTAGCCACATGGCCCTAGATATGGGGAATGGGATGCTGCACCACAGAGCACGTGGAAAGGCATTTGCCATATACCAGTGGGAACAGGACGCTGCTCTTGGTTATCCCCAGTATCTCCATTGGGCTTCTGCCATGGAATACCGAGAGCATTTTGGAGGGGCTGGGAGAGATGGCATGGGACAGACGTACCCCGGTAAGAAGGACAAAACCCTGGGAGTGAGACAGTGCATTTTTGAATGCCTCCTATGCAAAAACTGTTGTTGCTGGGGAATAGTTCTTTTAGCTTGGATAGCTAAACAAAATCTTCAGGTCCAAAGGCAGCGCGCATTTGAGTAGCAGTTGCTGGGCAAATATGGTGGAGGGGAGTCTCTTGCCTTCTGCCCTGCTTGTGGGTTTCTGAGAAACATTTTCTGGCTGACAGCTTTTGGAAACAAGATAAAGCTGCCCAACCACTTTGGAGGCCCTGCTTTGGATGCTTGTGCCTCCTGAGATTAGGCAGGTGGTGAGCTGGGAAATGGCCTTCTTGGTCTTGGCACCAAAGCTCTGGAACTCTCTCCCCAGAGAGATTCTTCTGCCCCCTTCTGTTGCTGTCCTCCACCAACAGGTGAAGACTTTTTTTTGTTTCGTTTGACATTTCCCCAGTGATCCCTCCTTCCTGACCAATATTTTTGTTGCTGTTTTTATGTCTTTGTATGTATTTTAGCTCTGTTTTAAATTGTTTTAATGATGTGTATGTGTGTTTTTTGGGGGTGATTTTAATGGTTTTAAAATAGAATTTTATAATATATGTTTTAATTTGTTAGCTGCCTTAATGCCTCTTGTGAGGGCAGAAAGGCAGGATATAAAGTTTGCAATTTTTTTTTTTTTAAAAAAGATGCTGGGCTAGGTGCTCTATTAGCCCGATTCAGCAGTCTTATGTTCTTCTTCACTTTGCTGAGCTAGTTAGCCTGATATTCTCTTTTGGGCATCTGTCACTCTGGTTGCTTTAAAAAAATGTGTGAGCAGCCCGTAACATTAACAGAGTGTTTAAGTCCCTGTTGGTAATTTCCTGTGTCCAACTGCATAATATTGTAGCATGAGAGTATCTGCCTGGGTCTTGACTGTCTGCACGGAATATTCACTGATACTTTGCTACTCTTTGCTTCTGCAGGCAAAGCAGTACATGAAGTAACAAGGGCATGTTGAGTGAATGAGAAAAATCTCGTAGAAAAAGTATTGTGGCCAGACATTCCATTGAGGTGGAAGGGAGAAAGAGCACTACGGTTGTTTTGTTTCCCCCTCTGGAGAATTCCTTAGGTGGATGGAGTTCTTGGCAGCCCTAGACTCTGGTTTGGCTCCTGTGTCTCTTGTTTTATATTCCCTCCATTCCCTCTGCATAGTGAAGCTGTCCTCTCCTTGGGAGACTCGTGCCTCCAGCAGGAGAGAGAAGCACATCTTATGTCAAATCTGTCTGCTGTCTGAGGAAGGCCGGTTCAACATCGCAACTCTTTGACCACTGACCCCAGCTGACACCTTTAACCCCTGACCCCAGTACATGGCATGATCTTGTGGCAATCTGACATCAGTGCTGGCTAGAAGTTGGGGCTTGTCTGGGCTCTGGCTCTTGAGTCCAGCATGCAGGAAGCTGGCAGGCTGTAAAAGTGATTAATGCAGCTTGAGTTCAATTAGAGCAGTGTGCTTGAAGCCTGCTGGGCAAGCGGGGGCGGCAACAGCATGATTTTGTTGATCACAGCTTAGTTGTGGCACAGATGGGTTTGAAGGGGAGGGGGGAGGTAAGATGATGGAGTGGGGGGGGGGGTATGGACGCCCATCCCCAAAATTGGTTCACAGCATTTAGTTCCAGCTCATGAGAGGGAGGGATTTGATGCAAAGAGCTTTTGCTTGAATGAGTCATGGTCTGCTCCCCTCCTCGTACTCAAAACTTCCCCTCTGTGAATGTTGAGCTAGGGGGACACCATGGGCTTGTTTACACGACCAGGGCTGCTAGGTTGTTCCAGAGGCTGTTATTTCCAGTTTGTCCTCCTGAATAGCAGTCTCTCCCCTCAGGTTCTATTGCATGCATCAAGGGTGTCACCTCGGATCTGGGTTTAACAGCCCTGAAGGACCTGAGGACCTTAGGCACGGGACAAGTGACACATTGGATCGTCTGTGCGAGAAACAAGAAATGCTGCCCCAATCGTATCTGCTCAGCATGCTGATAGAGACTGTTGTACTGTTGACATTGTGAGTTCCCCAGTGCTGACAGCAAGGAGGAGGGAGGAACTGCGGATTGTTCCAAGAGTCTCTTTTCATGTGTTTTCAGGACTCTGCAAATGAAAAGGATCTGAAAATTGCCTGGTTTAAAAGCCTGCACAGGGGCACAGTCCTTTATTCCCAAACATCCTTAACGGGGTAATTAATGTGCTTACAGAGTGCTGCCAGAAGAGATCTTGGGGGACCACGATGTGCCATTCCAGAAGGCAAGAGTCAGCCGCTAGCCTGGCCTTGTGTCTTCAGCACTTACCTGGACATCACCGTCTGATCCATCGTAGTTTGAGAAGAGAGCAGCTTGGATCTCATCATCTCCCTAACCTGTGACCTGTTCTTCCTTTTGTTGTCTCTCTGTTTCAGGTGCTGATTCTTGCAGCTGGCGACAGCACAGGATTTCTGTACCGTCACCTTCCCTTCCTCTCTCCTCTGGAGAAGAAAGATGGAAAAGCCACTGCGTATCTCTGTGAAAACTTCACTTGCTCATTGCCCGTCACTTCCAGCCAGGAGCTGCGTCACATGCTGTTGCCCTGAACTGATATCCCTACTCCCTCCCAGCCATTGCCCTTGAGTTTCAGTGGACATGAGAAGAGCCAAAAATATAACAGAACAGCACTAGCTACTTGGACCTCACAATAAAGCCACTTGATCTTGCTAGTTTTCCCCCCTACCTTGTTGCTGTTTAGCTGGCACAATTACTAGTGTTTCTTGTTTCAGTGGCCCCTTCCCTCCTCTCTCTGGGAAGGTGTATGCTTTGTAGTTCTCAAGCTTATTTGCACTTGGGGACAGATTATTGCTTTAAGGGGAGTGGCCACTGGCAGCTAAAGTTTGGTGTAGTGGTTAAGTGCACGGACTCTAATCTGGGAGAACCGGGTTTGATTCCCCACTCCTCCACTTGCACCTGTTGGATGACCTTGGGCCAGCCATAGTTCTCATAAGAGCTGTCCTTGAAAAAAGAGCAGTTTCTGCCAGAGCTCTCTCAGCCCCCACCTTCCTCACAGGGTGTCTGTTGTGGGGAGGGGAAGGGAATGGGGTTTGTAAGCCGCTCTGAGACACCTTTGAGTAGTAAAGGGTGTGGGGTATAAATCCCATCTCTTCTTCTTCTCAAGTCAGATCTAAAGCCGAGCAGTGAAATTTTCATTGAGACTTAACTCAGAAAGATGACCTCTGCTTCATGTTGGTTCTGTCTACATGAACAATTACTGACATTTTACTACTTTTGCCCTGCTTCTGGCTGCAGAGAGAGTCATTCTCTCAGTTTGCAGAAATCATGGGATTTGGGCACTACTCCCCCTCCACACTGCTTTCCTAGCCAGTTGGGCCAAGATTTCCTTTGTTTCTTGGTGCTTAAGATCCTCCAGGGTTTACTTTAGGCTTGCATAGGAAACGGAACCAGGCCTTCTGTTATTTCCTGTCCTGCTCTTTGTCCTGGTTCCATGGCTGAACGTATTTTAATTTATTTATATGCTCCTTTTTTGTTCAATAAATGTCCAGCGTGGCGAACAGTCAATAAAACTGTCAAATGCAAGCCCACAAAAATTAAAAACACAAATAGCACAACAATGTTGAAATCTCAAGGCACCACCCTACCACATTCTCTCAAAGATTTTATGAAAAAGATACATTTTCAGGTTATGTAGTAGTGGTGTCCTATTGCATTTTTTGAGGTGAAGGAGTACTGCAGTTAGCAGTGGCAGCTGAGAAAGCCCTCCTGTGAGTCCCTGCCGGCCATATCTCAGATAAAGCAGATTTTCTGTAGCAGGATCGCCTTCTAAATTCAGATCCCAGGCAGGTTCATGTGGGTGGAGACAGTCCTTTAATAGGACCCTCTCAGTGATCCATGACCAAGAATGATAATGTGGAATTATTTCTTTGAGAAACGATGGTTTACCTCTTCTACTTCTCCACCTCTCACTTTCCTTCCTTCCATTTGCCTTACTGTATTGGTGGCATGTTTTTATAAGTCTATGGCTCTTAATTGTAACAACTAAAGACAGATCATCCTTATTCAGAGGATCTGTACCTTTCATTACCCTCCCCAGCCATGGCATTGCTCTCCAGCCCCATGGAATCCTTCACCACCAGGTAAATCTTGCACACCATGCAGATAATGTTTCTGAGTTTGGCTTTTTCAGCAGCCCTACACATGTTCGGGCTGCCGTCCGTGGCCAGATAGCCACGGGTGATCTGTTTTCCCCCAAACCAGGTCTTCAGGTTACTCCGAATGGCTGCGAAGATATTCACCACCATGTGTGCGCCACCTGAGCATGGAGGAGCACCTCCTTGTAGACGGATGGAACCATGCTTTTCTCTGCTTGGGACAGTGGGGGGCCCTGCCCACCCCAGAACCCCTTGGGTTGCCACCAGTGTGCAGTGAGGGAGAGGTAGCCATGGTGTCAGGTGGACAGTTCTTCCTCACACTTTGGCTAGCTCGGCTTTCACCAGACACACCACAGACTGATACATAGCGGGCAGCATGCACCAGCTCATGGTCCTCCTGGAGGGAATGGTGTACCACAGGGCCACGCAACGTAGTAGCCCCCAGAAGCCCACATCCTCCACCAGAGAGAAAGGCTGGCCATCCAGGGCGATTATCCGCCCGATGTTCTGAGTGATCGCTTCGTGAGCCCTGGCCCTCATCCTCTTTCCAGGCACTGGGGAGGACCCAACGAGCATGATCTCTTAGAGGGTGGTTTGTCTGGGGGAACCCATGGGGGAGGCCAGAGACCCCACCGTGGTGGCCCAGCCTCCCTCTCCCCATTGACTTGGAGTCTGCGCCCCACATCTGGGTGCCCCGGGGAATCGTCCCTCAATAAGGGACTTGTTGATAATCTCCCACAGAGCACCTTGAAACCCCTCGTGACCTGCCTTAATGAGCCAGGAGGGGAACGGATCAAGGTCGCATGTGGTTGGGCGTACAGAAACAAACCATCTGTCAACTTCGTCCAAGCTGAGCTGGCTGAAACACTCTAAACCCGGAACCGAAGGCACGCAAGGGGCCTCGAGTTTGCTCACTGTCTCAATCGTGGCGGGGAGGTCGCGACAGAGCGTCAGGACTTTATCTGCGAAATAGCTCGCAAAAGCCTCACAGCCAATATCCAATTCCCTATCGTTTCGCCTGCCCTGTGGCAAGGTCTATCAAGGACTGAATCGTGCTAAATAATTGGGCCGGGCGTGAGCTCGCAGATGCAATCTCAGTTGCAAAGAAATCCTTCTTAGCAGCCTTGACTGCCATCTCACAGGCTCTCATAAATGTCCTATAAGATGCTCTTGATGCTTTGTCGCGAGCACGGCACCACCGTCTCTAGTCGTCTCAGTTCTCGCTTCATCCGACGCAGCTCCTGGGTATACCAAAGAGCCCGCCTCAGCCGAGTCCGGATCTCATTGATGGCTGCGGAGAGCCGGACATGCCAGTCCTCCACTAGCTTATCCAACAAGCCGCCAGGGGGCCTCAGATCCTGCAAGGCCCTCTGGAGCCACAGAGGGTCCATCTGGGCCCGTGGGCGAGTATAAATCAGTTCGTCACCCACAAAGGGTCGGGGTGGAACATTCAGATGGGCCTGTGAACTTGTGAATGTTCAAGTGCTCAGAGTTCAACAATTGTTTTAACCTCAGTGGTTCATTCGTTAGCTGTTCAGAACCAGTGAAAACAGAGATCACAACCAATTGTAGGGATATTGGTAGTTGAATGGTGGTAAAATGGACCCTGACAGCAAGTCCTCTGGAGCCATCCAGGACTTCACTTTCTGTTTCAAGTAGAGCAGGAAAAGGCAAGATGGTGGGAGTTAGAAGAGTCTCATAGAGAAGAGAGGAGATCTTGGATCTACTGGCCCTGTGGGGTTAGCAAAAGATGTCATCCATCAGTCTCACTGCACCATGGAGATTGCAAGGAGCATGGCGGCAAGGGGTCATCGACACATGGCCATTGAATGCCGAAACAAGACGAAGGGACTCCTCTCAGATTACAAGTGTGCACTTCTGCACAACAACATGTTGGGAAATGACAGGACCACATGCCCCTACTACAATTAACTGCACAGCATCTTGAGAGAGGACCCCAGCGTCAAGCCTAGGAGGGTGGCTGACAGCTACCAACTACCAACCCCTCCCCCCCCATCACCATTGGCCTGGAGGCCCCTTTCACACCAGCCGAGGGTTCGGAGGAACTCTATTCACTTGTTTTACAGCCTATTGATGGAGGAGAGGGGGCAGCATGGGGCACGAGTGGTCTGTCTGGTAAGTGAGTGCCTTTCTTAACATTAATGTTCCTTGTAAAATTCTAGTGGCCTACATTACAGGGAGGTTTTCCCCCCCAACCTCCAAGTGGGGCCAGGGTTAGGGTTAGGGTTCTCCTGCAAGAACTCAGTCCCCTCTACAAAAGGATATCTTAGGTTAGGAGGGTTGCATCTTGCATCACATCACCAATGAGACCCCTCTGCTCTCAAACCTCACGCCCCCCCCAAACCATATAAGCTAACATTACATGCTTCTTTTGCCCTTTTGGTGGAAAAGCAGCAAGTCTAATAAGCCCGGTGAGAGTCAGTGGAATTATGGGCAGTGGACATGTTCAGGGGAGGAGGGAAAACTGCTTGTCCATGGCAGAAATGGCAAATAAATCAGAATAATTTTTACTCATTAAGTGTACATGAGCGTTGAAATTTGTTGGTTGCAGTATACTCATGCTGCAATCCTAACAGCACTTTCTAAGTAGGGAGGCCCATTGAATAAAGGGAACATTTCTGAGCAGGCCATGCTAGGATTGCCAGACTCCAGGTGGGCCACTAAGATCTCAAGCATATAAAGTTTTTAAAATATATATATATATATATAATCCTAACAGCACTTTCTAAGTAGGGAGGCCCATTGAATAAAGGGAACATTTCTGAGCAGGCCATGCTAGGATTGCCAGACTCCAGGTGGGCCACTAAGATCTCAAGCATATAAAGATTTTAAAATATATATATATATATATATATTTATTAGTTTTCAACACACTTATATACAACAACACCCTCTACCAACCACCCACACAAACCTTACACAACAAAAGCAGATCACCTCCTTCACACCCCGTCAGTCTTTATCCAACCATCTATACACTGGTGACCAAACATTTTGAAATAAAGTACTCATATTTCCATTTACTTTTTGTGTTAGATTGTCCATTTCAGCTACATCAATTATTTTACTAATCAGTTGCCCTTTGGTTGGTACCTGTTCACTCTTCCATTCCCTTGCGAGCAGAATTCTCGCCGCTGTTAATAAATGTAAAATTAAATACTTTTCCTTTTTCTTCCATTCATCAGGAAAGATATTCAGCAAGAACACTTCAGGATCTAATGGAATTTGTTTCTTAGTTATCTGCCAAATCACCTTCTGGACCTCCTTCCAATAAGAGTTCACCTCTTTACATGTCCACCAAACGTGATAATATGAGCCCAGTTGTGTCTTACACTTCCAACATTTGGAACATTTCCAACATTTGGAAGTGTTGGAAGGAAGAAAGTAGATTTGTAGATTCCTTTCAAATGTGGTGTTGGAGGAGAATTTTACAGATACAACGGACTGCCAAAAAGACAAGTCAGTGGGTTCTAGACCAAATCAAGCCTGAACTCTCCTTAGAAGCTAAAATTACTGAGGATATCATGCTTTAGTTACATTATGAGAAAACAACAGTTGCTGGAAAAGACAATAAAACTAGGAAGAGTTGATGGTAGCAGGAAAAGAGGACGACTCAACATGAGGTGGATGGACTCCATAAAAGAAGCCACAGCCCACGGTCTTCAAGACCTGAGGATGGCTGCTAATGATAGGACATTTTGGAGAACTTTAACTCAGAGGGTTGCCATAAATTGAGAGCGACTTGATGGCACTT